TAGATGGTACACCCTCATCTTGTACAAGTCTGGTCCCAGACCTTGAATCAACTCTTTCTCCAAGATGCCGTGGTTGCCTTCAGTGGATACGAGGAACGGTTTCAGCCCAGATTCCCTAGCAAACAGATTGTGGTGCAATCCGAGGATATAATGACTCAGGGAAAAAGGAGTGAGGTAGGAATGAATGGAAGCAGGGCAGCATGATGTGCGTTCAGTTTGCGGTGCTTTGTGTTAAGCTTTGGTACAATGACATCTTTACCAAAAGCATCCAGGTGGCCCTATGACCCACGTCAGCATAGAATATATGAAGAATCCATGCTTTGGGGGAAAGAAGGGAGCAAATTTAATTTTCTGGCTCTATTTCTCTTATATTTCCTCCTGGTCAGTGTTCACCCATTTCCTGTGTGCGTGTCTGTGCCATCTAGTGGTCTTATGAGCTGGATGGACAGTCAAATCCTGTGTCTTGCACTGTGACTTTGTGACCAAAAAAGAAGTTGTGAGACCTAAGAGTTGGCTCGATTAGCCTGATTTTGGGAGCAGCTACACAGTGCAGTGCCTTAGTGCTGTAGGTCAAGTGATTATTTGTTCCCATGGGGTGGAATTCAGTCAGCGGGGTGGCAGCAGAGGTAAAACAAACATCTGAAGTTCTGCAATGCAGGTGAGACAAAAGGAGTTCAAAGAGAATAATGTATTTGCCACAGATACCGTTGATAATTTCAAAGTATAATTTTTAACTTCTAGAGGGTTTTTTTCCCCCAATATTTCCCCTTTTGTTTGTAGAAAAATCTGAAAGGGCCTGTTTTTTAGCGAACAGATTTTACTTATCAAAAGTAAATTTCAGGTTACATGAGGATACTACTAGATAGCAGACATAACTTTAAGCATATGTAATCAGCTAAGACATATGTTTTGTCCATGCTAGGTCCAAGGACAACTGAGGCATGGTATATTTGTAATCAGTTGAATTCCCAGGAGAGGAGGACAGAAGTCGGGTGAGTCAGTTTCTGCCACAGAAGTGGTGTTTCACATTGGGATATTTCTAAACTATTGGGGTCTTCTCTCTTGAGCAGTTATCACTTCCTGTTAGAGGTTATCACTTCCTGTTAGAGGTTAATGTGTAACTTGGCACAGAGATTACAGAACGAGAATCCAGATGTTTGGCTCCATGTGGGATTTTTCTGGTAAATGACAAGGTTTTAATTCAAGATTAAAAAGTGGTTGAAGTTGTCACGAGAGGAAATTGGCCATCTCTGAATATTTGTGAGAGTTACGCTGCAACTGAGTGACCGGGTAACAACATATGCATTACTAAATCTTTTCCTGTACTCTGCCATTCAGGTCAAGAGGCAATGGCGATGTCAACAATAGTTAATTGTTTATTAAAACTGCAGTTTGATTTTATGCGGTGGGACCAATCAGCTGTTGAGTGAATTTCTGCCTTGATCCACCTAACGTAGTAGGACGCACAGATTTCTTCTTGCGGGGTTACGAATCATTAACAATACATGTTTTACAAAGATGCAACTCAGGATTATTACTATTACATAAGTGTTAGAAAACAAAATAGTACATATCAAGATGACATTATAGTTTTTAGAGAACAGAAATTTCTTTTGTTAAAAGCATAGAAAATTAAGTTAGGGTTTACTTGGTGGCAGTCTCTTCATAAATGTCTTTTGGCTAGGTCATTTGAAGGCAAACTCCAGAACAGTGTCGTGTTACCTGCTCATACTTGTCTACGTGACTCTACCTGAGAAAGACGATAGATAATAGGAGGCAGGGGTGTAGACCTTCTGCAAACGGGAAGGCGACCAAGAGATATAGAGAGCAAGGAGGAGGAGAAGGAAAAGGATGTGAAAAGAATTAAGGTGTGCTATAAAGATGTGCTAACTATCCAAAACTGAATGTATTAATTATACGCCCTAAACATGTACTGATAAAAACTGTTAGCACTACTATCATTCCTTCTATTATATTTCATTTGTTTATTTAAAAAAATTTTTGAAGTTTTTTTGAGACAGGATTTTGCCACGTGGTTCAGACAGGACTTGAACTACGTAGCCCGGCTGACCTCAAACTCATGGCGATCCACCTGCTTCAGCCTCCCAAGTGCTGGGATTAGAATCATGGGCCATCATGCCCGACCTTCTATTCTATTTAATATCTAGTCCATGTTCAGAACTGCCCTATAGTCTCAAAGACATCTTTTTGTAGTTGGTCTGTTTGAATCAGACCCCTGCAAAGTTCCACACACTATATTTTGCGGATTTTGTTCTTTAGTCCATCATAATTGGTAACAATCACCCACTTTTCATCTGCATGCTGTTTATTAGGTTTTTGTCCTGCGGAAGCTACCACATTAAGAATTTACCTGATTTTTGCCTCATGGTACTACTCAAATGTTTTTTGTTTTTTTTTGTTCTTCCAGCATTTCTTGCAACACAATAGTGGGAGGATTTTGATCAGGATCATGATGATTTTTGGAAGAAGAATATTAAAGAGGTAGTTCTGTATGTGTATCCTATTTTGTCATGTCAGGATGTACCTCTTTTTCATACATTTCTCTTTCAGTGATGTTAAAATCAGTGGGTTCAGATGGTGGCAGCCTGATCCATCTCCCTCATGTTCTTCATCAGCCTTTTACCTAGTAGCTTAATATCTGGAACTCACTGTCCAAGTAACTTAGTTTTGAAGAAAATTTTATTTTTTACCCAGATTTATTGTGATTTTATGTAAAGTACAAAGTAGCAGTATCTTTCATCCATTATTTGGTTATCCTGAAACATAGTTCTTAGAACAAAGATAGGATAAATTCTTAATTCTTTTCTGTTCTGTGACAATTTTCAGAAGGGTGATTCCTGGGACCAGCAAAGAAAACCAATAATCTATGTGCAGGTAACAGTATGACTATCTGAGCTTTGGATAACCCACATATTTTAATACATGGTGGCCATTATTATTTTTGAGTGTAAGTTGTCCTCTTGACCAAGTGGGGACTTATGTTGTCCTCTGTCATGACCACAATAGTCTTCCTAAGTACAACAGGAGGTCCCAGAATTCTTATACTTCCTACCTGCAGCCTTAGTCACTCACCAAGAAAATCCTGATTCTTCCTCACGTACATGAAGCATGGTTTGTGCATTATTTATGCATAATTTGCATTATTTTTGCATTAGAGATGTTCATTATCCTTTTAGATCTTTTCAGTGAATAAAGGTAGGAAATAGGTTATTTTAAAAAAAGGTTAAATAAATTATAAATTCATACTGACATTTCTGATCAAAGGTTAGGGATTTACTTAATTTAAAATTTATGCATCTTTTTCCTCTTAAAATATGCTCTTTTAATACTTTTAACATTTATATTTTCATACTTGGCCAGTTAGAAAAATACATCTCTAGTTATTCTTTTCATAAGAACACTAAATGTACTTAGGATAATGTGGGCCTTATGTGCAAGTTATGCTTGGTACATACGTCTCACTTGGGGTCCAGTGTCACAATACTCACATGAAATACTTCCCAAGCTCTCATAATTTTCTGTAAAGCAAAACCTGAATTCACAAGCCATTTGGTTGATATATATTTCGGTTCATTTCTCTATCATTCTAGGTTTCCAGAGATTGCTTATTTTTTGCTCTTTTGATTTAATTTTTAAATTAATGATAAAACTTTTACATTGGTCCAAAATAAAAATTATGAAACAAAGGTGTGGAGAAACAGCTTGCTTGCCTATTTATTCTTATATCCCATTCTCTCTGTCCTGCATAAGTAACCATTTTGATTAGACTTTAGTTGGTTCTTCCATTATTTCTCCTTGAAAATATTAGCAAATATGGGTATGTTTTGCTACTTCTTGCACAAAGGCATATATTCACTCTTTTGAGCTTGTCTAATCATTTAATAGTTTATGTTTTTACTAGTCTATCAGAGATAGATCCTCAGATGTAGAATTGGTATGACAATGACTAAGTTCGTACAAAAGTTATACCAAATATTGCCAAATTTGCTTTAGTGTAGTTTTATCAGCTTTTGCTCCAAAAGATTTTTTTATTATTTTCTCTATTGTATTGGAGGGGAGCCAGTCATCAAATTCAGGACCTTTTGCTTTCCAGGCAGCACTGTGCCACTGATTTATATCCCTGACCCCTGTAAAGACTTTTAAAACAAAAGCTTCCTAGTTTCAGACTTTCTGAATCAGAACTTGGAGGAGCAGGTTTTCAGGTAATTTTTAGGTGATCACCCAGGTTTGCAAAACCTACTGTACAGGAAATTTTAAGACTGACGTTAAATTAAATCCAATTTATTGCTCACTTGATATGTGCTAATTACTACACTGGAAATTGGCTAGACAAATCCAAAGATAAAAATAATCTAGTCTTCCCTGCATGATCTTAGAGTCTGGATAGTGCAGGAGAAATATTTATAGTCAAATAATTATAATGTCATGTGATTGCTGGTATAATAGACATGTAAGGTATTCCTGGCCCTAAAGAGGACAAAAGAATGAATTCCTGCCTACAAAAACTGCATCTGGGACAGACTGGTGTTGACTGGTCCTAACTGAAATAAAGTATGCATTTAACAGACTCTCTACAAAACTGATTTAATGAAGTTAACTTTTCTGAGAAGAACAAAACCCTGAGTTGGGATGACCCAATGGGACCTTCCCTTGCTGCCTGATGGGATAGTCATACATGACCCACCAGTGGGTCAAAGCCAACCGGCAGCGTGACCCACAAGTTGCAGCCCAGTTGTGATTGTGTTAAATCTGAATTTATCTCATCTGCACTTGTTTCTTTGCTTGTTTTGTTCTTTGCCTTAGCTTCAGATCTTCAAGTTGTAGCTACCAGTGGATATTTAGGGAGAGGCTTTGAACCCAAAATCATTACAGCCTTCAAGGTCCTAACAAAAAGATATTTTTGAAAACATTACCATATTCATCAGCATCCTCTACTCTGCTTGTAATTAAGTCATTCATGTAGTTGACAGGACAGAAGATAAAAGTCAATAAAAACAGAATTATTTATTAAAAAGATCTAATGTTACAAGAACAGTACACAGAACTATTATCTGACTGTGCCTTCCACACGTTATGTACCATTATATATAGTATATATACAGATTGTATACAATATATTTAACGGTTTGACCTGGAATCCACAGTACCTTCAGCTGGATATGCAAAACATTTGCTTTCAAGAAATTTCTAATTATAAGGAGTGTTATTTTCTTCATAGTTCAATTGATATTATAAAAAAATACAGTCTCTTTAGTGATTGAAGACTGTGTGGTTACTACCCCAACCAAGAAAAAGTTTACTTAGTACTGTAGCTGAAAAATAATGTACCAGGATAGGGAATGCTATTTGCCTCTACAAAGTAACAAATATGTAATACATAACTACATAAACATTGTAACCTGTTTTTTAAATAGATTTATGATACAAAATACATATTTTGTGCATGTTGAGTAAAAACATCCCATATCTCTGACACCTGTTAAGAATAAAACATCAGACATTGTATACGTAAATATCCTGTGAGATGTGTACCATCCATCAGTTATTTAGAATTATTATTTAATTTGAATTTGCCATATATTGACATTACTATATTTAACTGGGCTTTCTTTTATAAGAGTATTAGTAATAACTTGATTCTTACAGTCCTTCACTGAATTTAGTTTAGGACGTCATGGAAAATGAAGAGACAGCTGAATTCATCAAATAGAAAAGGTTACTTCCAATTTTAAATATCCTTCTGCACTTTTTGATGCATAATTTGGTCTTGCAAGTTATTACACCATATTTGGGGGAGCTCATATTTTGCTCGCTAAGCAGTTAGCATCCCTCTAGATGCAAAGTCCAGCCTTTTCTACGTCAAAGGAGACATTTAAGAAAGGCCACTTGATTGTTATTATTCAAGGTTTAAATATCCACCACCTGTAGTATTGATTCTAATAATCTGTTGATTCAGTCTTGTAAGTCACTTATTTTTTGTTTTGGGTTGTCTTGGTTATAATTTTCTCCAAACCAAGTGAGTAATTGTCGTATATAGTTCTACCGTAGCTCTAAAAGCAAATGGTTAGGTGTCCAGAAGAAAATCTTTAATTTGTCCTCTGATTCTGTCAAGATTCAGCTCTAGAGCTGGAAATTTGAACTCAGTTTTGTTTCATTTTGTTTGTCATTAAGGATGCAAATAGAGCTAACAGCTTAGCATTATATAAAGAAAACAAAAGGAGCAAAACTGCAGTTTGTCATCCTGTGAAGGTCACTCATGGAACTAGTTTCCCCAGGTTCTTTGCAGGTAAATGAAGTTGCCATGACTATGTTTTCATCCATCTTCATTGATGTAATATTTGCTCCAGCGCATCCTTATGTATTCTAGAACTTCTGTGTGATATCTTGAAGTAGAAAATTTTATTTAGCTTTCCAATAACTACTTAGGATCACTTGGATTCAAGTTGATTTCTCAATATAGCAACTAAGGATCACTTCCTAAGCCACAGAATTAAGCAGTGCGCAGCGGACCACATTAGCTAAGCCCTTATATTGATGCCATATTTCCAAAGATTAATTTTAAAAATCAACTTATCCAATAAATCCTCTCTATTTTAGTAGCTGACAAGAATTTGTAAGTGGTATATGATATATGAAACTGTCTAAAATCAAAATTTATTTGCTTTCTTTGAATCATTTTTATCCACAGACTATATGTGTATGTAGTTATTTGTACAACATAATTACACTGTGCTTAAGATTATTTTCAATTAAGACTTGGACTTGGTTCAACATCTCTTTAATATTAGGTGAGTGGGGAAAGAAATAGGAAATCTCTCTTCCATATTCATTGCACTTTTAAATTAGCACCTGTGGCAGCATGTCATTGTCCTCAGTTTTTCGTGATCATATACTCTTGTGACTTTAAGCTATCTTTTGTTATCAAAAATAAACATTTACCACATTTGCTGCTGTATAACACAGTGCTTAATGAAAAACAGTAAGTTCATTTGGATTCACTATTTATCTAATAAAAATGGCTTATTCTCTACCCTAAAAACTTGCTTTAGGGGTGAATGCAGAATAACATATTGACAAAACTTGCTGTCTCACTATGCAATTGTATAATAATTTTTGAGGATTACTTGTGTATTTATCCTATAATGGATCTCACAGACGAAGTATTTTTGGTATCTCCTGCAGGTTTGGCAATTGTCATAGTCAGTTGAAGGGAAAATGAAAAACACTGGATATAGAGTCTTAAGAAAACTTTCCATTCCCATTATTGAATTTGTTTTTGAAATAGATCTGCTAGAGACCACTTTCTTAATAAATGGATGGCACACAGTCATCAGATATAAAATCAAATTCAACCTATATAAAATGAATCAGACATTTGACCGAAATTATCTTTGCTTACAAAATTTCATTACATACAATCTGCATATTTTCATTGGACCAAGAACTGTCCTCTCCATTTACAAAAATCAAAGAGAAACCTGATGGATAAGTAATACTTCCCCGCCCAAACCTCCTGTAAGTGCACCATGTGTCAGTCTAAGGTGTTCCAGCTCCTCTCAGGATCCTGGATCTCCACTTCCACTACATTCCATTCACTGCTGTTTTTTAGCTAAAGCAAATAAAGCAAATTAAGTTAGCAGTTTCACCAGGATGTCGAAGGGATCATCAATGCCAAGAGCAACGTCACGGATGACAATGTGGAGAGAGTGTGCAGCGTTGACTGAGCGCTTGTGATCTTCCCACCTGTGAGAAAAAGAGAAGCATCAAGTGATCTGATTATTTTGGATAGAGATGTTCTTAGTAATGTAGGATAACTGAAGGCAGCATCAGTCCCGTTTTTTATTGGAGTACTTTTTACACTTATGAAACAAGACATTGTCTGAGATTCCCCAAGTTACAAGCAGGGCAGAGTATGCATGAAATACTGGGCTGAAAATGGTAATCCAGGTCAAAAACCACATCTACCCAAGAGATTTAGGGTAGTTTTTATCAGTGATGCACTGATAGAAAATATCCCAACTTCCAGGCTTGAAAAATGAAATAATTCTTATAATGCCTAGTTTAGAAGATCAAGTGAAAACAATTAGTGAAAGTGTGCGGCAACATGAATTCACAATTTAATTACTTCAATTAACTTATAGATTTAATAATAAAAGAGTATTTCCTTTATTTATGGATCTTTGATTATTATGCTTGAGTAGGCTTAAATTCTAGATTCTTGCTAAACTCAGTGAAGAAGGGAAATCTTTTACCACTTATTCTTATACCCAGGAGAAATTCTGTCTTGAGACCCAAACATATGCAGCTAATTTGATTAAAACAGCAGATCCGAGCTGATCAGTCTGAAGTACTTTTGATAGTTCCTCATGGCCAGAAATTAAGAACAATTCTTAGATACTAACTTCAGAAATGGTTCTTCAGCCCAGAAGTCTTCTGAAGTATCATCAGTGGCATTTAATGAACACTCACTATATGCCAAATAGTATCTTAAGCCTTTTATGTATATTATTTTATTTGACTCTCAAACATTCCTGTATTTTCAGTGATATTTTTATCTTTGTTACACATGAAAAAACTGGTACATAAATTTACTGTTCACTTTTTGGAATCTTCTGCCAAGTTATATTTCCTGGTTAGATTTAGTGTAATGGGATCCTGAGGTTGATTTTTGTTACAAAGGTAGAGTCTAAAGTTATGCTCCAGATGTGTGCTTAAAAGCTAAAAAGTTAATTTTTTGGTAAACAAGACACATGCACATGTGGCAAGTCTTCTTCTCTCTAAAAATTTGTATAACTAGTGAAATAATAAATCTTATTACTTAACATATTGGAGAGGGTTAAATATATTTCACCTTAAACAAAATAAGTCTACTGTAAACTACATGGCCACATATGAGCTATAAAAAAAGCAAGATGACACAGTCTTATTGGAGTGTCTATACATGCTAAATAAATAAAAAGTAAAAGCATTCTTTTTATGTACAGCATTTTAAAGTAGCTGTGTTATTTCTAAATCAACCTTCATGACAAGAAGAAATCTCACTTCCAGAATGCTAATAAAGTGTATTTCTAATACTCTATATAAAATCCACAAAGCAAACAAACAAATAAAACCAACCAACTGCCCCCCAGTATAAATCAAACACAAAATAACAATAGTGGATTCATTTCTGCCTCAGCTACCTACCTATTTTACTTGGGGGCATCATTCCATTTCTTTGGCATTTGGTTTTTAAAATACAGTAAGAATGAAGTCAGTCATTATCAGATTCTTACGGGTCCAAAGTAGATAATACCATAAGATTTTACTTCATTGAAACTCAGGAAAGGGGTAACTGTGGTCAAAATGTTATTAACTAAAACATAAAACTTGTCAATTTTCTTCATAGAACTTACAAGTTAATATTAATGGGAGAATCCAGGTCCTTGTAAGTACTTTCCAGCTTGACACTGGTCTTATACAGAGGATGCTGGACAATCTGATTGTGTTAGTGTTGAAGGAACCTTCTAGAGTCAGAGAATAAAATTCCTATTCAAAAGATTGCTAGAGGGGCAAAATAGTGCATGGAAAGCACATAGCTTAATTCCAGAAACATGGGGAGGGCTCTGTAAATGCTCCTTGCATTGTTACTAGAAATTTGACACTTATGAGGCAAGAGGAAAGTCATTGGAGTTTTTTACTTTTCAGAAAAAAATCTTTGGTCTTTCAAATTGCTCTTGAAAATTCAGCAGCCTCATCTGGAGTTTAGTTGTGAATTAAGCAATGCAGAGACACATTGTTATTATTCTTGCTCTTGAAATTATAGTGTCCAAGAAGAGAATAAAGTGTCATAAGATTTTGTATGACTGAATGTAATCCTGTATACTGCAAACATATACTAATGAAAAATAAAAACTGAAACAAAAAAAAAACAATTAAAAAAAATTCTTAGGTCTTTTCATCTGGATATCTGAAAAGACAGCGTTTCCCTTTTTCTTTTCCACTATTCATCTCACAATAATTTTAGATTGCTGTGAAATTATAAGAATAAAACAAGGAATTCACCTAGATTGCTTCACTGTTGATGTATTATTATTTATGCTCAATTGTTTTCTCTCTCCCTGGACATTTTTCTCAACTCGTTGAAATGGTATTACAGGCACTCTTTCCCCTAAATATGCCAATGTATTTAGACTCTAAATACAGGACATTTCCTTAGATAACCACAATACAGTTTTTAAAAAACAAGAGGGCTGGGGATTTAGCTCAGCGGTACAGCGTCTGCCTGGCAAGCGCAAGGTCGTGAGTTTGATTCCCAGTACTGGAGAAAAACCAAAAAAAAAAAAAATAATTTTGCTCTAAAAAAAAAAAAAAAAAAAAAAAAAAAAAAAAA